GTTCTAAGTGAGTGATGCAGCTTCTATTAATCTTTTACAGTCATATGTCCTTTTTTCTTTAATGGAAATAGCTCTTTAGAAAAGGAGAACATAATTGACTCAAATATACACTTCCCTTGACAACCACTCGTTTGTTTTTTGCCAAAATTCAAATGGTGTTGTAAGATAAGCTTAAATGGAACCCCAGTCAGATTTGTGGTCATAGCCCAGTGATTAAAGTCAATGGGTTTGTTATACATTTTATTTTCCTACTCATGTTTTATTCAAACTACAAATGGTGTCAAATTTGCATTTATTTCTTATATAGAGAGCATTTTTATAAAAGAATAGCTTTGATGTTAGACAAATACTCCTCCTTAGAACAGCTGTTGCATGTAAGTCCATGCTGATAAAGTGTATACACAGCTGTCTGCCGTGATAGCAGAGGTGTACAGTACAAGCAAAGTAAACTGTCAGTTTAAAGGCAAGGCAAGGCAAGGGCAAGGCAAGTTTATTTATATAGCACTTTTCAACACAAGGTAATTCAAAGTGGTTTACAAAAAATGAAAGACATTAAGAAAATGGCATTTAAAATCAGTCATTAAAAAGAAAAGCTAATAAACATTAAAAGAAAAAGTACATGGATAAAAGTTACAGTGCAGTGCAGTGCAACAAAAAGAAAAGTCTTCAGTCTGGATTTAAAAGTAGTCAGAGTTGCAGTGGACCTGCAGGTTTCTGGGAGTTTGTTCCAGATATTTGGAGCATAATAACTGAACGCTGCTTCTCCATGTTTAGTTCTGACTCTGGGGACAGAAAGCTGACCAGTCCCTGAAGACCTGAGAGATCTGGATGGTTCATAATTTAGCAGGAGGTCAGAAATGTATTTTGGGCCTAAACCATTCAGTGCTTTATAAACCAGCAGCAGTATTTTGAAATCTATTCTTTGACACACAGGAAGTCAGTGTAAAGACTTCAGAACAGGAGTGATGTGATCCACTTTCTTAGTGTTAGTGAGGACTCGAGCAGCGGCGTTCTGAATCAGCTGCAGCTTCCTAATAGATTTTTTAGTGAGACCTGTGAAGACACCATTGCAGTAGTCGAGTCTACTGAAGATAAAAGCATGGACAAGTTTTTCCAAATCCTGCTGTGACATTAGTCTTTTAATCCTAGATATATTCTTTAGGTGATAGTAGGCTGATTTAGTAACTGTTTTAATGTGACTGTTGAAACTCAGGTCAGAGTCCATGATTACACCTACATTTCTTGCTTTATCTGTTGTTTTTGAACATTGCAGACTGAAGCTCAGCGCTAACTTTTATACGTTCTGACTTGGCTCCAAAAACCATTACCTCAGTTTTATCTTTGATTAATTGGAGAAAGTTCTGACACATCCAGTCATTGATTTGTTCAATGCACTTACTCAGTGTTTTAACTGCTTTGTACACTTTGCCTATAGTTATTCCAACAAGCATCATACTTCATTAAATGTGACTACACAAAAAAGACCAGCATTCATGGATCATGCCTGAGAAGGAGCAGACCCTCATACCATTAAGCAACTGTTGAATCTCTGCCAACATCCAGGTGGATTCACTTAAGAAGCCCATTGATCCTCATCTAACTCCATCCCTACATACACCTGTGCTTTACATAATGAAGGCTGTCTATTCTAGAGTCAAGGACACTGGAAGGTGAGAGGTGAAGATGGATGTTCGAATGGGCTTTATAACCTCCATCTGGTTATTTAGCGATAGGTGAAGCATATTATATTATTTAATGTGACTGTTGAAACTCAGGTCAGAGTCCATGACTACACATGAAAGCTTTAGCGCAAGTTCAATAAGGAAGACCTAACTCGAGTCACTCACACGTCACTCTATGGCTCCCTTCCCCCCTCATTAAATATGAGGGCGTCACCCCTCAGCAGCCAATCGCTGCACATGCTAAATGCCTTAAATGCCTGCTCTTCCTCCCTGTCAGTTGTCATTGCAGATGATCACACGCAACCCGCCTCCACCACTCTCGCCTCCCGTCTCCTTCAGGACAAAGCTAAACCTTCCTCCTTCAGACCGGTCTCACCTACTCATCACCACCACCAGTGTCTAGACCCCGGGGATTTCATCGGAGCGGTGCTTTCCCTCCTGAATGATTATCCTGCAAACCGGGGCCTAATCGCCAAACACCATTACATTCTCCTGTTGTATTATCATGGCAATCATTTCATTCATATGACGTGTAAACAATAAATATGTAATTCTTACATCACGTCTCTCCGGTTTGAACTACATTTCTTGCTTTATCTGTTGTTTTTGAACATTGCAGACTGAAGCTCAGCGCTAACTTTTATACGTTCTGACTTGGCTCCAAAAACCATTACCTCAGTTTTATCTTTGATTAATTGGAGAAAGTTCTGACACATCCAGTCATTGCACTTCAATGTTCAATGCACTTACTCAGTGTTTTAACTGGAGAATAGTCTCCTGGTGAAATTGTTACGTACATTTGTGTGTCATCTGCATAGCTATGGTAACTTATTTTGTTGTTTTTCATTATCTGAGCCAGTGGTAGCATGTAGATGTTAAAGAGAAGAGGCCCCAAGATGGAGCCTTGAGGAACCCCACATGTCATATTTGTCAACTCAGATGTGTATTTACCTATAGAAACAAAGTTGTTTCTGTCCTTTAAGTAGGATTCAAACAAATTTGGAACTGTTTCCGAAAGTCCCACCCAGTTTTCCAGTCGGTCTAGTAATATGCTGTGGTCAACAGTGTCAAACGCAGCACTGAGATCTAATAATACTAACACTGAAGTTCTGCCACTGTCTGTGTTTAAGTGGATGTCATTAAAGACCTTTACAAGAGCAGTCTCAGTGCTGTGGTTTGGACGAAAGCCTGACTGGAACACATCGAAACAGTTATTTAAATGCAAGAAATTACTCAACTGTTGAAAAACAACTTTTTCAATGATTTTACCTAGAAATGGGAGGTTTGATATGGGCCTGTAATTGTTCATTACTGAAGCATCTAGATTATTCTTTTTTAAGGCGAGACACCCCAGGTGAATAGGGTAATTTTTTTAACTTAAATGTATCAGCTATACATTTCTCCAGTTAATTACTTACAATAAGGCAATTGTCTTACAAGTTTCTGAAATAGCATGTTTAAATATGCAAATAACCATTATCTCATTAAATATGCACATATTTTAACACATTTCAGGAATCGAAATCTGAACTTTGGATATAGCCAGATTCAAAATTCTTGTTTCATTTTGTAGTCATATTAGTATCTAAGGCTTTTACAGAAGGGATATTGGATATCTCTTTTTATCACTCCATAAATCTGAAAATACTGTCAACAGCCCTAAAATATCCATTTTCGCCATGTTTTTAGGTATATAATGTTGTATAATTCAGGCTATGAATGATATATGGACAAACCCTTCTGTAAAAGCCTTCATAATATTGATAGGAATATAACTGGAAGGTTTGCTGAATGTACGTGCTACTGAAGTTGAAATTTCGAACTCAGAGTAGGAGAAAAAACTCATTTTGAGAAAACGACCTTTAAAGATTGCAGTGAGGCGCTAGCTAAACCCTCCTGTTCTTTGGATGACAGCTTGCGCATCGACGCACTCCGTGAAGGTATTTCATGTTCAGGGTCATTTTTTTTTTTATAACCTTGCTTCGTGCAAGTGACAATTGTTGTCGTCTTCTCTGTGAACGTTTTTTTCGCCGTTCTTTTTGCATTTTGAGATTTCAATTTCTAGCTGAAAGCTAACCAGGAAGTGTTTTAGCACACCACGTGACGCATCTGAACGAATCACGTTGTCATAAATTGACACCAGCCAATGAGATTTCGTTTCTTGGTTTAAGACTCCTTTGTGCTTTCACGATTGGTTGCTGATACAAAGGAAATGACCATATTTGGATCCGATGAGATTGTGCAGGAGAGACACAGCTTTCCAGTGTTGACATGGTGCACACAGCGGTCGCGGTACTTTATGTTACGTTAGAATGCTAACTTTTGGTGAATTTAGGAGAAATCTACAGACGCAAATAGACAAACTATAGTAAAATAAACACTTAAATGTGTATTTTGTACGTTTTCCTTCCAAAACCCTGAAAGAAATCATGTTATGGAATCAAAATAGCACAAAATCTCAAAATTGACCTGTACTTGAAAAACTATGTTTTTGCCTGCCGTGTCTCGCCTTAAGAGCGGTTTAATGATTGCCTGAGTGAAGAGATTTGTTTACTATATGAAGTAGATCTGAGGCAATGCAAGGCAAAACATCTTTAAAAAATCCTGTTGGAATAATATCAAGGCAGCAGGAGGAGGATTTCAGAAGTTGTATAATGTCCTCTAGGTTTTTATCATTAATCTGATGGAATTGTGTCATGGTGTTTGAATTGATGTTAAGTGGACACAGAGACAACACATTTAAACATGTTGGTGTGTGCAGAACGATGTATGTGTGTGTCGAAAGGTGGAAGTGTGACACGGCACACATCCTAAAAGCAGAATTTAAGCTACTTAAGGAGAATTATTATGTGCAGTAGTTAAACTTCTTCTTTTTTAAAGACTGACATCAAGGGACAATAACAGCCGGGAGTACTCATATTTTTGATAATACTTTTGATATATTTTTACTTAAATAAGATTTTGAAAGCAGGATTATCTATTTCACAGAATGTTAAAACTATTTTTACTCTAAGAAAAACAAAACGGAGTACTTCTTCCACCACTTCTTCTGGGGTTCGGGTGCGACCGGTACCAGGAAGTTGTTTTAGAGACAGAGTAACCCATTGTTTGGTTTAGTGTAATGAGATTTGTCGTCAACGAGACACATATCATCATTGCCAACACTGCCAACTTTGTCGCGTAATAGCTGAGAATCTTTACCAGTTGACAACTTTCTCACATTTGACTATGTGTCTGCAACTTCAGGATAGTTTAATCTCTAACTCTAAAGCTTACCACACATTTGTCATATAGTTTAGCTATTTACTTTTTTTAAAACTACACCACATCTTCATCATTGCTCCTCTTCTTTACCTGGAAGAATAGAACAACCTGATTGACATTTGCCTTCCCCGTTCTAGTAATGAAGCAGTAAAGGAGAGGGTCTGCAAGGCAGTTTAAGCTGGAGAGAGCTATGCTGATTTTGTATGGGTAAAGGAGCCATGCAACCTCCCTGCAGTCATCCATTTGTGTGCGGAGGAGCATCATGACGTGGATAGGCCCAAAGCAGAACAAAACACAGAGCAGAACTACCGTCAGCAGCTTTAGGATACGTTTACGTTCTCGTTCCTTTGTGGCCTGATTGGATTTGACGGCCTCCCAGATCCCCCAGGTGGAAAACACCACCAGGAGAAAGGGAATAATAAAGCCCAGGATAAAGCGTGCTACATTAGCCCAGACAAGGTTCCCTGACAGCGGGAGAAAATTATCAAAGCACACTGCAAACGTGTTGTACTCATGGTATGAGTCTTCCCAAGAGATGGTTGTAGCGTTGAAACAGAACACCAACAACCAAATGGCAACACCAACTGCTGCTGCAGTATTCACTTTCCTCAGGAAAGTGTACTTAAAGGGGTGAACCACTGCTAGGTAGCGGTCAACAGTGATGCAGCAGAGGAGAGCTTCACTGGTGTAAAAGTTAGTGTAGAGGAAGTAGACAGATAGCATACAAACGTAGCCTCCGTGGATCCAAAGTCCTTTCCACAGAAAGTCCAGCCACAGGGAGAGGCCGATGGTGAAGGTCAGGTCACTCAGCGCCAAGTTAAATAGATACACACCGAGACCGTTCTTCTGTCTGATGTGCTGCCACGACACGTACAGGGAGAAGGCGTTGGATGGGATGGCAGTGACGATGATAGCCAGGTAGAAAAACATAAACGACCTCCTCCTTGAAGCGCTATCAACTGGGTAGCATTCTGAACGATTTGAGCTCAGGGTTAAGTTTTCCATTGCAGATGTGGAGTTTATGTGCTCATACCTTTGCAGAGAAACAAGGGAAGAAACAAGCAAATGATGTCACATTCATTTATGTCTTCTGTGGCAAGCTTAAGAACAAAAATTCAAATATATTTGCCTCTGCTACTTTATAATTTGACATTCAAAAACCTATAGGTCTTATCTGAGCTTCTCAACTTCATAGCAGTGACATACTTAACTTTTTAAATTCCCAAAAGATTCACTTGGATTAACAAATAAATCACAGATTGCTTTTCCTTAACTAACATATTGGACAAAGTCTTGTTTGTTCACCTTCCAGGGAACATTTGGCGTTAGTAGTCGTCTACTTTAAACGTAGTAGTATGTCGTTTTAAAATCTCTAATGTTGCACATTTATGGAAGAGGGTCATTTCACAACACATCCTGCATTTCCGCATTACAAAAACATGGTGTGACAAAAGCAATTGTTGATCAGATGTTTGCTATCATAGACTATCTACATAAAATCAAGACTAAAAGTATTTTGTTTTACTTTTCTGAAATGCATCAAAACCAATAGACCCCTGGAAGGTGGGAAATAATCTAAAACTAATGCATTTTGAGTGGTTACAAATAACTAATAAAAGGCTACTTAATGGACTAGAACATGAACAACCTTTGTTATACTTAGGCTTCAAATGCACCATAAACATTCATTTATTCCTCTCGCCAGATCAAATAAACCACGAATTAAATTGAACTCATATAAAGATCTACTTACTCTTTACTCGGAAGTGTTTCCGCTCCAAATGATGTCCATAAAAGTAATTAAGAGCAACATGAAAACATTAAAGCAGATGCAGAGTGGATTCATTCGGTTGTCTCCTCTTCCACTGCTTGGTCAGGCGGATCAGAGGAACAGGAAGAGTCGTCCCTGAGTACCGTATGTCTTACTCTGGGTGACAGGCCATGGCAGAACAAACTACCGGTGTTACAGACCACATGGCAGATTTAATTTAATAACTAAGTCTATATGACACTGCTTGTCTTCATGTTTGGTGTGTCAACATAGACATAAACCCGGGTAAAGGTTATGCTGATTAGTGTCTGATAAAGGCTGTTTGACTTATTTTTTCCATAGCGTAATAATGTTTGCTTAGCCTACCTGCTCCTAAATTATAGGCACATACATCATTTTTGGGCTTTTCTTATTCTCACAAGTCTATATTTACATTTAAAGTATTTTTGTTTGCTGTTACATCCGGTCCATGCTGCCTACAAGGAGATCCCTTCATAAATAAATGTCAGTGTAACTGACAGGGGGACAAAATCCACATTCCTTGCTCTGAGTACATTTTTTATTAGCCAATCAAAGTTTAACTAATAAAATAATGATCTTCCAAAGTAATACCAACCCACAAAAAGGAAATTAACTTTAAAAAAAACATAAAAAAAGAGGAAAATTATTTAGATTTCCTGCTTTTCAAGTTTTATTATCAGACATAAAATCAATTAAGTAAATAAAGGCCAATATGATCTTGTTCAAAATCAAACAAAGCAGTACATTACAGTTATAAAATACCCACTCAGAAGTGGAAATACAACATCTCTGTGTATGTAAATATAAATGGAAATGACTGTATTTATATTTAAAGTATTATAAATGTACTACCCCTACATAGGATACATTTTAGTTTCCTTCCTGGATAGAAACAGCACTGTGCTCTTCTAAATGATCTAAGACATCCTCGCATCAGTACAATATTGTCATTAACATTTAATTTGATTTGCAATTATGGGTTAAAATGTAAACAAATAGATAATTCTGTTAGGAAACTGACTGCATTTGATTACAACTCTCTGACAATTTCTTTCTCAGAAAAACTCCCCAACATTTCTCTACAGCTTTCCTTAACTCTCTCTGAGCGCTCTCGCTGATTAAACAGTATATTATGGGATCCAGTGTACTGTTTATGGTTGTCGTGGCAACAGTGACCAGGTATGGATCTCTAAGCCTTGTGGCCCAGGAGCAGGTCCCTGGCTCCAGTATGGCTCTCAGCAGCATGACAATCTGGTAGGGCATAAAAGCCACTATATAGGTTAGAAGAAGGTAAAACAGCAGCAGTCCCACTTTCCTGCGCTCCACTGTCAGGATTGAGGTGTTCTTTTTGAGCGATTGCATGATCTTCTGAAAACAAAAGGTCATGATGAAAATAGGGACCAAGAAACCCAGGGTGACACGTGTAAGGGCGAGGTTGCCGTCTTCTTGTGTCATGGGTATTCGCTCATCACATACGTTTCTTGAGGAGAAAGCTTGCAGTGCCCCTGTGTGGTCAAGCAAGATGATGTGAATGGTAATCTCCAGAGTCCAGAGGGCAATACTCACTATTGCTGCCGTCCGCACCTCTCTGACCCAGTGAAAGTGGAGAGGATAGACCACTGCTAGGTAGCGATCAACAGAGATGCAGCAAAGGAGGCCCGAGCCTACGTAGAAGCTGTTGTACATGATCACTGCCACCAAACTGCAAAGACCACCGAGAGGTCTCTGCAGGGCCAGCTCTATCCACACAGGCAGAGAGATAGTGTAGAGCAGGTCAGAGATGGACAGGTTGAAGAGGTAGACTGCCATGTTGTTGCCATTCCTCATCAGCATCCAGGCTACATACAAAGACAGGCAGTTAGCCGGTAAGCCCACAATAAAAAAAAGAGAATAAACAGCTGGATACATGTGCGTTTCCACTGAGGACTCCACGGTGCAGGAGGTAGATGAGTTAGTCTGGTTAACAGGAGCTGCGTCCATCCTCATGTGTTGATGACCAAACCTGAATGTGGATTGAAATGGAGAGCCCTGTATTCTGGTGAACTGAGATAAGCTTGGCAATGCAAATATTTCCTGCTAAAAAATGTTTGGCCATGCTGATAATGTAAACAGCATCCAATGCTTTCATTGTAGTCATCTGTCATTGTATGCAGCTTTCAAAGATCATGATAAGGTCAACCAAAACGTTACATTGTACCTGAGTGTTTGTAGGATGAAATGGAAACTGCACTGTGTTGTCAGCTACAATAGTTCTACCATTAACCTCAGATGTTATGATCTATATAGAGAGAAAGTTATCTATTATTTCATTAAAAAATGTTTTAAAGTTTAATTAAAAGTATATAATTTGGATAGGAAAGTTGGCAAAGCTCCTCAGGCAAGCCAGGAACAAAGGGCCGGCCATACAGCAACACGGAATAGAGGGAGGATTGTTGTCTACATTTACAAGAATATGGTGATGCTAAAAAGCCTGAGATGGCTAAGAGGGTTGAACGTTTACTTATCCAATAATTAGGAATCTAAGCTCACCAAATAAGACTAAGTAGCTGGAGTTAAAGTTTGGTGAAGAGAATGTATCTGGAGTGTGGAAGTGTGGATGCTTTTCTTAAGTTATTCTCTAATGTCACTCTCTTGTGTTTTTTTTTGGCTACTCCTGCATTTGCAAAGTGTTATATTCAATGAGTTAGGGTTAGTTCTGGGAACAGTGCAACGTCAATACAAATGTTCCAAGTTAAAAACAACCAACAGCTTTCACAATCATACAGATTTTCTCACTAAGTCTGACTCATTGCTTTTATTGTCACTACTTCTTACGTCAGCAATTACAAGGAACAACTCAGTAAATACACATTTTATGATTATAAAATGAAACAAAACCGGTTGGTTAAGTTAACAGACTCACAGCTCAGTCCAACCTTGACCTTATTATAATTTGGGCATGCATAAACCCAATGCGAGATTATTTATCACATTTTGGGTGTACTCAATTTTAAATAAACTTCAAAAAAAGTGATCATTTTGCTATAGTGTTGGCTTGATTTCAAACTGCATGATTCAGATGTAAAGTAAAGACATTGTATAAATAAATAGCAGGAATTAATTTTTAACTAAAATGTTATCATAACCAGGAAAGACATTTATGAAAATAAGAACCGATGTGAAGTAATACTTATAAAAGCCTTTTGTTTGATGAATTAAATCAACTTTTTAACAGATTTGTAACTTTATACATCATGAAAAGCAAAACATTGCAAAAAAAAACCTGTCTTTATACACTGACATAGGTGTAAGTTTCTTCATAGGTAGGCAAAAGATGTTTCTCCAGGTATTACAATTAATTAACAAATAGTTTAACAATTGATACATAGAGGTGGTTCATGGAATGTAGAGAACATTGTTCAAATTGTAAAAAAAATACCAACCTGACTGTGTAAGTCAACCCTTACCAGATTAATGTTCTGGAGTCGAATAAAGGAAACATGAGTAACAATGACAGAGACAAGAGAATAAATAAATAGTAAGGTTTGTTTTTCGGATGTACATTAAAATATAAAAAATATAATAAAGAAAGTAAGAACAACAGCATTTGACAGTACACAGAAGCACATATGCACAGACATGCACACACATAATATGTGTCATGTAAAGACTTCATAACATGCATTAACAAAGAAACACAGTCTGTCTCCATCTCTTTTGAACATTACATTACTAATGGCATGCAAATTGCCTCCCACATCCTGTAATAACCCCATGCATTAAAAGGTGACCACAACATTGATTTCCTCTGGTCTATTAATGTTAGTAGATTTTACATATTGCTAAATATTATGGTTATCTTTCTCCTCCTTCCCCTCGGTTTCCTCCTGTTGCTCAAAGAAGATAAGATGAAGAGACCAATCTAATTCTGAAATAAAAAGTAAGGTCTGAGTATGAGACAACGTCCTCTCATCAGACAGGATTGTATTTAATGTGTATTCTGACTAAATTCTAAATGACTAAGTTACTGTTCCATATCTTCTTCGGGGAACATGACTAATAACTTCATTATGTGAAAGTAACAAAAACAACAGCTCCTAAGAAAGGTCCTTCAGAACAAACAACTGAGGTCTAACACTACTCATCCGGGTTGAGTTTGTGCATGAGATGTTAACGGACGATTTTCTGGTAGATCTCAACTGTTTAAAGAGTCCCCTCACTTTTTGCCGAAATTGCTGTCCTACAATGACGTAGAGGATTGGGTTGAGAACACTGTTGAAGAAGGCGAGGTACATGAAGACATGGCTGCAGATGTTAAGGGCGTACTCAAGGCTACACCCTGTCAGGGCTTTAACTTCTTTCAGCAAACGTAATATCTTTGTCACGTGGAATGGCATCCAGCAGATCACAAACGCCAGGAGGACCGCCAGCACCAGAGTGGTGGCCTTTTGCTCCTTCTTCTGGGTGTTTAACCCCTCAAATATCCGGTTGTTCAGAGCTTGAAGAATCTGTATAGTACAGTAGAAGATGATGAAAAGGGGGATGATGAAGCCAAATGTAAACTGCATCACATCAAACACAGCCCTTTCAGTGACATTTCGGAAAGCCATATGGCATATATTAGATTGCATTTCACGGAAATATTTCACTTCCCTGAAGACAAGTGTGGGGACACTTAGGAGCAAGCCGAAACCCCACACCAGCACACAGCCCAGTTTGGCATATTTTGGCCTTGATATTCCTTTATGGGACAGAGGTTCCGTCAGTGCCATGCGACGATCTATGCTTATCAAAACTAGGAAGTAGATGCTAGAGTAGGCGTTCATGTTGATGCTAAAGTTGACCAGTCGGCACAGGTGATAAGAAAAGGGCCAGTTGAATTTGTTGGCTGCATTCACAGCCCAGAAGGGCAGACAGGACATCAGGATGAGGTCAGCAGCAGCTATGTTGCTTAAGTAGATCTCAGCCACGGTACAGGACTTCTTATGAAGACAGAAAACCCCGAGGACAAACACATTCAACACAATTCCCAGCACAGCGACGAGCAGGATATACACCGGCAGCACGGAGGTGTGCCAAAAATGTGGATCGTCACTATTACACTGACTCCCATTCGTGTTGTTTTGCTCTCCATTTATAGCTGTAGTGTTGAAGTCAGCAAGGATGCTGTGGAAGTAAGAGGAAGGCAAACAAGACAAAATGTTTACATAAACACAACTTCAAGGTAACTTCAACATTTCCTTTGAAATATGTTATGCTGAGATGATGCTTGAAAACACAGTTACACTGAACAGTGTGAAATAGTTGTATTACATTACATTACATTACATTGCATTTAGCTGACGCTTTTATCCAAAGCGACTTACAATAAGTGCGTTCGTCCGTCGTATTCCAAGTGTAATGCAGGTGCCAGACTAGTTTATGATGAATAAAAAGGGTGACAAAATAATAATAATAATAAGGATGTTATACATGTATGTTTATGTATAAACAAAACAAAAGGTTATGAAATGTTTTTTTGAATAACTTTTATTGCAGGCTTTTTATTTCTCTCCCCACGACAACTTGACAGGCTGTTATTCTGTTATAAATGTTGTGAATATGTCATTCATTCTGTGGAATTGTATAGCACATCTTGAATTCAGCAAAATAAGGAATCGCTGGAGGGCAAACATGCTCTGACAGGTTTACTCTGATCTTCAAACTACATTTGGCTCTTACAAAGCAAACTGACTTTTGACGATTTTGGAAGTGGAATCCAAGGGATGCCCCTGCCCTCTTGGGATTGTTCTCTTTAATATGTGATCATATTTGTATATGCAGATTAACGGTAAATAAGTATACATTAGCAGCAATTCTAAATACTCAAGTAAAGTACAAGTACCGTCATTTTAATACAGTAGTTGAGTAAATGTCCAAACCTGCCACCACTGATTTACTATTTTAAATTTGTTCAATATAAATGCATCAAGAGTAATTCTAAAATGCATCAACATAGTACACACCTCACCATCGTCTAACATCTAACCCTCATCTAATAACATGTTGAGACACAAACTATGCAGTTAGAGAACTATTCATTTGTTGGAAAAAACATATATACTGTCTTCCATTTTAACAGACTGTGTCTAAATGTGGTGCCGATATTAAACCAAATTTCAGTTTCATCCCACAGGTCATAAGACTGTTGAACACCTGAACTTTTGAAAGAACATCATCCATAACATTCATCTGTTTGCAACTTATATCTATCAATATTCCAATTACTTTACTGACTATTCTGCACTATTTCTATTATATTCTATTTTATTTTATTGACTTGCACTATTTGATCTGTTTCATCTGTTTTATTGTGTTGTGACCTAAGATTTTCATTGTCACACCTAAACTGTAGCTATGTACAAATGACAAAAAAAAGCCTTGAACCTTATTTATAACCCATGCTAACATTCAAACAGTCAATCGTGTTAAAACATTAAGAAAGTAATATACAAACCATATGATTGTTAATGCCTACCTTGTGGACGGAAGAGCCATTCTTCTTCTTGTGCAGATACACTGCTTCAATACTTTGTTTCACTGTCCTCGGTCTGCCTCTGACATGCTCTCCGAAAGGGAAAGGAATCCAATGAAAAAGGATGTCAGATGTCTCAACAGCTTAGAAACATTAAGGACATCCTTAATGTTTCCAAGCTGTTGAGACCCCGCCTTCATCCTCACTCTGGTTTCAGCTTTTTAAAGTTTCTACGCCTCGGTTCAGGAGTGAACTTCACTAATAACTTCAAATGATTAGACTTTACTAATACAAGTTAGCTTTCTGCATAGAGTGAACATTGACACAACGTGGCGTGATTCTGTAAAATACAGTGAGGAATTAGACCATTGGAGGTCAACAAAGATAATAAGAAATGTGGTTGCTTTTTTAAACTCAAGAAACATATATCTTGCAAAGAGAGAAGGGCACATATTCCCCCTTGAATTAGACACTGTTAGAGGGCCTGCTTGACTAATACTGTTTCATGTATGTAACAAAAGGTGTCAACAATGTTTTTACAATACATACATACATTTGGATCCATTTACAAAAGTTTGGGAAAGTTATGAGTTTGCAACAGGTTATGCCTTACGCTATGTCTTTGCATGTTAGTACTTTAATTGAGTTGATTGCACACATTATTCCAGCAAGACAGAAACATACTTAAATAATGACTGTTGATACTGAAGAAAAGCTTGCATGTGTTTGTCACCGAGTAGATGTTTTGTTAACATGTCATGATATATACCGTACAAGGGGATTTATGAATGTGAATACACACAAAGTACATGGGTGGCCTTTCTCTTTGGTTGGCCTGCAGAATGTAAACTGCACTTTTCGAGTAATTTTAATGACGTTAGATACATACTGCATTTCTTCAGAACGTGATATAAGTGTAAACATAAAATCTGCTTTTATGTCTTTTGCAAATTACAGCCATTATCTCGTGTGACCATTATTTATGCATAAGAACAGTCTGAAACATCCGATGATAGTGCTGGTTAACCATATAAGACCATTAACTGTCTCGTGAAAGCACAATTATGAGACTCATATCCTGTATACTGTAAAGATTTTCACCGTAATCAGCTATGCAAGTCGAGAATGTAATGGGATCCTATGCATTTAGAATGACCACTGGCTTAATTTTCTCTGTTCTGTTAATGTAAGTGGACACAACTGAGCGTTGATATATTGTCGTATCTGATCCTCTGCGATAATGTCTGGTCCTCCTGTAGATGGCGCTAACTTTCCTCCTAAAGTACTGCCCTGAGAGGACATACAGCAGTGGGTTCAGGGCGCTGTTGAGGAAGGCCAGATACACTGAAATCTGGGTTCCTATATCGAGAGCATGGAACCACAATTCCTCATCCAGCACTCTGACATCACAGAGTGTGTCGAGGAAGGTGAAGACCTGGAAAGGGCCCCAACACAGTAAGAATAGTAGTGTGACAGCATACAAAAGTACTGTGGCTTTTGTGTCATTAATGTCATGGAATGCAACCCTCTCCTTTCTCTGAACTAAAGCCTTGATTATGTTCCCACTGCTGAAAACAAATATCAGAACAGGCAGTACAAAGCCAACAACATTCATCAGAATCTGATGGGCCAACTTCCAAGAGTCGCCTTGACTATAATCCAAAATACAGGACATTGTTCCGATCTCCTGTATGAACGTCACTTTTCTGTGAACCATTGTTGGTATGCTCAAAGCAAGAGCTAAAATCCACAGGAGGAAACAGATCACTTTGGCATAGAGTGTCTGTCTTAGCCACCTGGCCTTCATGGTCTTTACAAGTGCCAGGTAGCGGTCAACACTAATCATGACTAGGGTGAAGATATTAGTGTAGAAATGGAGGATGATGATGGAGTTGACCAGTTTGCATAACGCGTCTCCGTACGGCCAGTTAAAGTTGTTGAGGATGTTCATCGCCCAGAAAGGGAGGGCACACAGGAGAATAATGTCAGCCAGCGCCAGGTTGCTCAGGTAGATCTCTGCTACAGTCAGTCGATCCTTGTGGGCGAAGAACACACCCAGGACAAAGATGTTTAAGAGCAGGCCTAACAGAGACAACGTGAAAATGTACGGGGGAATGATGGTACGGACAAGCTCCCATTCTGCAGTGATAGGAAACTCTGATGGCCGGGACGCACTGCTGTTTTCAGACCACAATGTCCCCACAGCTACAAGCATAATTGGCGGCTAGAAAACAAAAATATTTGGGCATGCTTCATCATTAAAACGTTTTTAATGAGAGAAAAACACGTTTTGAAAGCTACTGCATCGGAGACATAACATTTGATATTAGCTTCAACAAAAACAAATAAGACATGTTGGAAAATACACAATTTAAAAAAAAAATTGAGATAGCTTAAGTGACCGAGAAAAAACAAGCAGTTAATTAACTTTCCTTTAGTTTGACAACATGTGTCAAAGCTCCTGATTGAAATGTGTTTTCATGTGGTAACTTAAATAATGTTGTGCTACCAACAAGGCTAAACAGTCTACATCATTAATTGTCATTCTGAGTCTATGCTGAAAGACTATCTAGCATCTCTGAGCATCTTTAAAGTACATGTGTTGATGTTCAAAAAAGAAAAAAGGAAAGAATATGGAATGAATAAGTTCTTACCGTGTTGTTCATGAACATGTTCCTCCTATGTTCAGGATGCTAATGATAACAGGCACGTCTGGGACAGGGCTCATGTGTACACTGAGATCCCAGTGAGAGTGCAAAGCAAGTCAGATGAGAGATCTGTTACGAGTGATTTTGTATACAGTTGCATTCTTCCTCACCCTTCACCAAGTATGCAATATATCAACTTGTTTAGGAGAGAGTAAAAATGTACTCTATACACAAATAGTGTCATAGACAACCTGAAACTGCATCGCACCAAATGTGTTGGAGAGTGTTCAACTCCATTAGCAGTAGTGCAGACTGTCAAGGAAGGTTAGGTAGTTGTATGTATTTTATTATATGAAAAATCAAATGAATGATAATGTGAAACAGGGATTCAGAGTGTTTCTATGTTATCACAACAACAATTCTCGTGTCCAAAGGGAAGATAACGTGCAGTTGATAGAAATCTTTATCCAACCGATCACATCGATTATCAGGATTGACGTGTTTTTTATTGTATCAGTTTTACCTTTGCATATACAGATAATACATGTGCCTAATTAATCCCAACAAAGGTTGTCATGTTATCCGTGTACCGTCATGTTATCCTGTCCTAATCTTTTCTAAATGTCCCTCCAACTCAAGCCTTCATAACAACTTGATATGGTTAACAACTAAATAGCAAACAAACAGACAGAATACAACATATAAACAGTGTTGCTGTCAGTATGGGAAGTGTCATCTAAAAATGAGGATGAGGCTGCATCCTTTTATGGTCAAAATGATGACAGCATGCTTGAATCATGCAGTCGAGTTAAACATTTTTGAAAGGAAATCTGGCTCATTGTCACAGTTCATTATTATCAAAACAAAAACTCTTTTGGATTTTGAAGATTATAGATGATACTTTATTGAAAACAAGAAACAGTCAATAAATAGTTTAACTAACTTGAAAAACATCTTTATTAGAGCCCTAATAGACACTTTATTATCTGGAATTCAAATGTTTTGTGGGTGATATATACTATTCACGTAATTTCTGTTATATTGATATTGCAGAAGGAAAACATATATTTCATACGTACATGTATAACACAGCGGCAGGATACAATATATGACATATTTATTACTCTTAATATCTGTTGCATCAGTTATAGAGCCGATTCCAACATGTGAAGTTACTTAAGAAAAAGCCTTGGAAGAAGTCCTCTAAGATCACGTGTCATCACATGATCTCATTTATTTAATTCTTTAAAAAGTGCAAAAACGACATAGTATGGTTTCAAAGTTTTTGTATCAAACACGGATGTTATGATAATTAGTGAGGTTTAGAGGTACTGGTAGGCACATTTTGTCACCTCACGACCACAATGATAACCCCTTTCCCATCTTCCAGTCTGTATGCTAAGCTAATGGGATTCTGGCTGTATCTCCACACTTAGCCTATAAATAAGAGTAGTATTGACCTACAGTAGTCATATAACCTCTAGCAAAAACCAAATAAGAGTATTCCCAAAATGTCCAAATATGGCTTTCAAATGGCAGTGGATTTATGATTGACTTTTTAATTGTTTTTTTTGTTGTACTTAATTTAAACTGATAGCTAGATAGATACGTTTCTCTTTGTGTGTGTGTGTAGATTTAGAATTTAGTACTCTCAGTTTGTTTAGTTGAGTTGAGATTGGCATTGGAGCGACCGGACTTCCCACACTCCCTTTTCCTCCTGCCCAGCACGCGTCTAAACACTTCCCTTGCCCTCTGCTTGAAGTGCTTCCCCACAATCACATACAGGAAAGGATTTAATGAGCTGTTGCTATAACCAAGGTAAGTAGCCAACTGGTTTCCAATGTCCAACACGTACGCCCAAGTACATCCAGAGACGACTTCATAATGATCCAAGGTGTCCAAGAAGATCAAAAGCTGGTAGGGCAGCCAGCAGAGAATAAACACAGCCAAAACAACAAGAACAAGATATGCCGCTTTGCTTTCCACACTGCCTCTGCTTCCTTTTCTCAGCTTCTGGCTGTGGCGAAGGACTTTAGTGATGTGGTAACTACAAAAGGACACAATAGGAACGGGGATAAGGAAGCCCACAGTGCTGACAGTCACGTTGTAGCGCAGTCTCCAGCCTTCATGTGGATATGCTAGGTAGCATGCTTCAACGCCCAGATCAGGGAAAAACTGTACGGAGCGAAAGAAGACAGCAGGGATACTGAGCAAGACCCCAGCAATCCAGATAGTGAAGCAAATCCCATGTGCCCAGAAGGCCCGTCTCTCTCTCCCATGGGTTAGGGGCCTGGTAAGTGCCAGGTATCTGTCCACACTCACAAGCGTAAGGAACAGCACACTACAATAATAATTAATCCCAATGACAATGTTGATAAGCTGGCACATGGGCTCCCCAAACCTCCAGTGGAACTTGTTGATAACTGTTGCTACCCAGAACGGCAGGCAGGAAACCATGAGGAGATCAGCTGCTGCCAGGTTGCTCAGGTAGATGTCGGCCACAGTGCTGCGTCGCTTCTGGAGACAGAACACACATAGCACAAAGGAGTTCCCGATCACTCCAAAGAGGCAGATGATGGACATGTAGGCAGGCTGCATGGTGTAAACCCAGTCCCATGCATCTGTGTGGTTGCAGACAGGCTCATCTCTCGTGGCAGTCTCCATAAGAACTGTGGCTCAATGTGAAGACCGTTCCACAGTAACGACGATTTAAGAGTAAGAAAAAAAAGCTGCGTTCAAAGTGAACATACAAGTAAAAACCTTTCAACTGTGTCAACACAGGTTAAATGTCTCTGTTGTTACTTTCACATCATAATGTTAGTTCCAAGGTGAGAAGGAATAATAGATTTAATGGACTGTTAGTGATTTAATGGTGGTTTATCAGTAAGAGCACACAGCCTGCTCATGCCAACATAAAAAGGGATGTCCTAGCAACAGATACTGTATGGAATATGTCTGTCATTGTAATACGTACGTGCATGCATTCACAAACACATACAGCATAACTACAATGTAAATGTAACTGGCATCTGCTCAGATGTTGTCTAAGGGAATATATGCTTAACTAAACTATTGTGTTTTCCCATTTTTCAGAAGAGAATATACACATTTTTGGGCCAAACTTCAAGCTTCTTGCTACAGGTTAAAAGGCAAGCTGACATTGGAGTCAACTACCATGGATTGCTACTGACGGAGTACGTCATCATACTGTATTGCCTTCTAAGTTTGTATTTCCCTTACCTTTAAGCATTATAAAGTTAAAAGTGTATTCCCTTCAAAGGGTAAAATCAAGCAACCTAGGCAAATTAGCAAAATCCAGAGAGGCAACAAGGTCAAACAGTGTATTTTTTGCATGCATCGTTTCTATTTTGAGGTAACTTTGTCCGCCTGCATTTTTCTGTTTCACAATATTTTCCAGCTCTGGCAATGGTGGTAAATACAGACTCCTAACACAGATTTCCTGTTTGGCAAGACGTGCCTTAATTTAAGGGACAAGTAGGGGTGTACCCTTGCCCACAGCCCACAATGAGTCAACATCGGGCAGTTAAATGGTGGTGTGGTAAGAAACGTGAAGCGAAGTCCATACAGCCAACAAAAAGAGGAATGTTTGTGTATCAGCACTGGAAACTCTTTGACATTATACTGTTTTAAACTCTGCAGACACTAAGTCATAACATCAGAAAACACTTAGCAAGCAGTTGTTGGTTCTCTCTTACATTCTAGTTTATGTGTTCCAATCAACATTTAAATATATTATAAAGATTCACGAGGCATCTGTAAAACAATATGTATATTTTATTTGGACCTTTTATATTCAGAACAAAAACAAATATATACAAGACAGGATATGTTAACTGTATGTTAAATAAATAATTGTACAGCTCCAGGCTGATTTATATCACATCACCTGTATGTTAAAGATACAGTTGTTTGGAAATGTTTTAAACAAGTTTAGTTTAATTCATGTAGTTCAACTGTTATAAACTGAGAAAACAATTAATTTAAGACATTGTATGTCCCTGCAGTGCACATATATCCACATTTCTTAAAAATAAGTATTTGTATGTACTCCAGTGATTATGAAAGTAGTATTTTACACCAAAGTCTTCAGTGTAGCTGACAGGTGTGATGAACGTGAGGATTCATCGTTGTTGTTTTTTATAATTTTCCAATGCTGGAAGAGTTCACAAGCTTTCTTACGGAAGTTCTTTCCTACGATGACATAAAGAATGGGGTTGAGAACACTGTTGAAGAAGGCTAAGTAGGTGGAGATCTGATTGCAGATATCTAGGACAGACTCGAGGTGACATCCTCCGAGGATGTCAGCTCTTAAGAGAACATCTAGTGCGGTGACCACATGGAAAGGCACCCAGCAGATGAGGAATGCCAGGAGGACGGCCAGCATCAGATTGGTGGCCTTCCTCTCCGTGTTCTGAGCATTGAACCTCTCTATCGCCTGGATATTTAAAGCCTGAATAATTTTGATAGTACAGAACGAGATAAACAAAATGGGGATGATGAAGCTAAAAACAATCAAAATCCCATCAAATAACAGTCCTGAAGTGAC